CGTCGGTGTCACAGCATTGTTTGGGTGACGTTTGTGAATGTGTGAGATCGGTTGCCCCTCCCCTTAGAGCTACGCATGCGGAAAGTCCCGCACATCAGACCTTGTTGTCGACGATGTCCTTGACGCGCACGCTCCAGGGATGCTCGATCCTACCGAGCTGAATGTCGTTGATGCGTTCCAGCATAGCCTTGGCGATAGGTCCCGCTCCGCTGGGTCCCACCGGGATGTGCACATCTTTGCCCATGTATCCGATTCTGTCTACGGGCGAGACGACAGCTGCTGTACCAGCACCAAAGATTTCCAGCAAGGCTCCTTCAGAGGCAGCCTTTTGAATCTCGGCCATGTTGATCTCTCGCTCTGACACTTTCAGTTCCTTTGCTACACCCTCCAGAGGCTGTGTTGAGCCAGAGCTGTGCTCCCTTGCCAAACCAAGGATCGAGTCTCGCGTTACGCCCGGCAAGATCATTCCGTTCAAGGGCGGTGTTACAAGCTCCACGCCTGAGAAATGAATGCAGGGCAAGGTCAGCGTGAAGATGCAGAGGCATCACTTGCCCAAAGACGCGTGGACCCGCATCTGTGCCACTCACTGCCATCGCTCTGTCTGAGCGCAACGAAGAGGTTCATGGTGCCGACCTCCGTCAGCCAGTGCTCATCACCGAACAGCCAAAGGTTTTGCTGGTAGCCGCGCGTCGCAGCCTCCATTTGCGGTCTAATGCCCGGCGCGTAGTTGCCTCCAAGCTTGTAGTTGCCCGTGCCGCCTGGCCAAGCCCTAACCTTGCTCGGATCCGCTTCTAGAGCGACAGGCTTGAAGCCAGTCTTGTAGTAGGGACCGACAGGGCTGCTGATCACGAACAGCCGAGCATCTGTCGTAGGGTGAACACCGAGAGCTGCTTGCGTACCAATCAAGGCTGGTCGAATGTACAAGCTGTGGCCAGGCTCTGAAGGAATCCAAGAGCTATCGAGATCCACCAGTGTCGCGATGAGCTTAATCAGATCACCATGCGAGAACGTCTGCCCAAGTCGGAGGAGATGTGAGCGCATATGCTCGCGTCGACACTCCTTCATCCTAAGCAAGCTGCGCAGCGCAGCTCTATAAACTCACAGGCAAAGCCAACCTTTCGGCGCTCGTGTTCATGCGCTTCATGTTCATATCGGGCCTGAACAACCTCACTTCGCCATTCACATCTTTGTAGGCCTTCATGCCCTCAAACAAGCTGGGCGCATAGTGGAAGATGACGCTGGAGGGATCCAGTGTGAAGGGGCCGTACGGTTGGATTTTGGGGCTCGACCAGCCTCTTGAGCTAGACCAGTCCACGCTTAGCATGTGATCGGAGAAGCAGTGGCCGAACACAAGCTCGTGCGAAGGAGGCGGCTTTTTGGCGCTCTTGGTCCTTTCGAGGATCAGAGCTGATGCATCTAGTGGTCGGCTTGAGCCCAATGACTCGCCGGTCAAGGGATCTTGCGCTGCTTCAATCTTTCCTGCTGGCCCCGTCGTCGTTGTCGTTGTCGACTTGAGCCTCGCTTGCGAAATGGAGGCGGAAGAACCGCCCAGATCCAGGGCAGGCGCCATTGTTTTCTTCAGGCTGACTAGCGGCGCTTTGGCAGATGTGAAGATGGTCCGTCTTGCACAGGAGGACGAGTGCTTCGAGAGCAGGCTTGCGCTAGTAGGCAAGAGAGACGACATGATGGAGGCTGACCGAGGTGTGTTTGTAGAGTCCCAAGACTTTAAACCAACTTGGTCGCCAGATTTGTCAAGATGCGGCGGGGAAAAACCTCTGCGACTTGGTGTCCTGTTAGGAGCGGCCTCGGCGGATCAGATGCACCAGGCCCGGCAACTTGATTTTCAACGCTGAAGAGGTGAGCGAGCCTTCGAGTGAGGAGTGCAGCACAGCGTATTGAGCTGCGAGATAAGGTACCTATCCCAATGCGTTAGAACGGCTCATGTACACGATCTTCGGTATGATGAAGAGGAAGTAGAAGCGTTCGGCCGCGGTCGCGCGGACCAGTGGCCGTCAGCAGCGAGAAGATGATCTCACACGAGCGAGCGAGCGAGCGCTGCCCGGTGCGGGCGAGTCATTCACAAAATCGCGATTCATCATGCATGCATCTCTCGTGCGAAAGGGACCCGCGTTGCATGCCCCGCCGCGCGCCGACATGGCCCACCAGCCGCGGGCATCACCAGCACAAAAAAATCCAGACGTGCACGCATG